GTACTTTTTTGTACGATCATAACTTATTATGAAATATTTTCCTATGTATTAGAATTAGATAATATCTATTTTGTATTGAAGAACAATTATAGAAGATGCCATATTTATTTTACATAATATCTTAGTGTAGAGGTTTGTACCTAAATATATTATAAGCATAAAAATATCAAAATTTATTAATACGTAATTTGATTAAATGAATAATATACAAATCTAGAGGGCGCTGCACATGCAACATAGCATCTACACCAATATTTTAAGTGTCTGGTGTTCCATAAGCTGAAAAGTGTTCCATGGCCAAAAATGTTTGGGAAACACTGGTTTAGTCTATCATGTTACACACGCAGTAATACAACATTTTCGAACTATGTTGTTGTATTATATAGACATTGAATAATTGTAACTGAGAAATTAAGTTAGTGTGTTAAAGTTTAAATTATTAATTATTACCAAATTCAAAACAGCAAAAAAGAACTTTAACAAATTTGATCATGACCTAAATTGCATTTGATGAAATACTTTGATTTTTTTCATGACATGAGGCTACAAGGGCTATTGTACTTCAGTTCAGGTTTTACTTTCAATTGTAAACATGTCTCAGTATAACCAGCAAAGCTGGTTAATTGTCAACATTTGACAAGTAGAATCTTAGTGGAGAAATTGAATTTTCTTCATCAAAGGACACTTTAGGAAGAGACGTAATACTTGTTGCAAGCTTTGTGCTAAATGCGGCAAGAAGGTCCAGAAAGAAGTGAAAGGGTGCAGTCAGCAAGAGGTGGACAACACTGAATTCATAATGAAGTACACTGTCACTCACCATTTGAATTCAAAAACACACGCACCAAATGGCTTTAGTATGTATAATCTTGTTTTTGTACTCATTACTCAAATTTGTAACAATATCCCTTCACTGTTTATCATTACGTGTGCAGCCTGTATAATCAGCTATCTACCTTTTTACATTTAGACCTATATTTGTATGCAACTTACAAGAATGTTTACAAAGCAGAGGAAAAACGTTTCTTTCTAAAACAGTTATTATTGTGTTAGACTCATTAGGCTTATTTTACATTAAAATTGTTGTTGACGTTGTATGCCTTTATGAGTTATTGGCCAAGTCCTAACTTGATGATATACATATAGATTTGGTTATTTATTAACTTTGTGTCAACGTAATTAAAGAACTAATTTTGTGACCTTTATTATTTAAGTATCGACTTAAACATAATTAAAGTTATAGGTTGCTAAGATTATCTTTTACATAGGTTCTACTGTCCATTTATTTTAATACTTTAGTCAAGCTTATTTGTTTTTATTCATTAACTTGTTTTATTACAATATCTGTTATGCAGAATTTATAAATTTGTGCTTTTAAGGCTTTAAGAAGTTGCTTGAAGATGATGAGAATACTTTTCCTGTACTACTAGTGATAATCCTTCTGCTTCCAGCATCCTTCTTCAATCTCAATAAATGTAGCTTTGCATGTACAAGCTAAGTAGGCATACAGATAGCTTCTCAAAACAGCTTACTTGCTTGCTGTGGGTGGGCAGCTTCTATCTGCATTCACAACTAGTTAAAGTACAAAAACAAAATGGGTGCAACTGATTTCAATTTTGATAATGCCTATAGAGTGAAAGAATTTATTAACATTATTGCAGCAGTCATTTGTGAGAAAGTAGCAATGATTTTATGTTCAGCAATAGCAGTAATAGTGCTAAGTGATGGAAGAAAAACTTGCTCTGAAAGAGAACTGATTTTTATTAGAACAGTCAAGCAAAGTATAACAGCTTATTTCTGTGTTGCCATACAGGACATTGATAGTCTTGGTGATGCAGATTCAAGTAATCTAAAGAGGAGCATTGAAGATGTATTCTAAGGTTATGGAAAGGTTTCAATTCCAGCAGAGAAATACACTTACATGCTAGTTTCAGCTACAACTGATGGAGCTTACAATGGATTGCTAATAAAACTGAAAAATGATGATCACCCTTAGCTTGTATGCATTCACTGCATTTCCCATGTAGTTGAACTAGCACCAAAAGGTACTGTATCTGAATCATTTGCTGATGTAAAAGGCTTCATGACAACAGTATATTACTTATTCAAATAATTTGGAAAGTTCAAAAGATACTTTGAAACAACTGTAGGTGTGCAGCATTTTAATTTTCCCAAAGTGCATGGTACATGATTTATTGCACACACACAAAACATGCAGTGAATCACTTATTGAGTAATTGGGTAATTCTTGCTCAAACAATAGAGAATTCCCTTTGCCAGTTGCAAGGAGAGAGTAGTATTGGCTAAATTTCACAAACACTTAAAAGATGAAATGTTTCTTGTACAAAGATGTGCTGGATGCATGTTCTATGCTGTTTAAAAAAACGTTTTCTGCTATCATATACTTCCTATGGTACAAAAAGCAAAGGATGCCTTACAGAAACTGAAGAAAGAAACTTCAGGTACACACTTTGAAAATCTTTCGAGAGAGTTCAAACTTGAACTGGAAATTAAATCAGGTTCCTAGAATCTTAAGAGCACTTTGCTTAAACCAGGACACCTGAAAAATAAAACTGGAAATACACTACTGTCTTTGTCAACTACAGTCTAATGAACAATGTAGACTGTGCTGAGAAAATTGTAGACATCTGAGAACTTAGTTATTCCAAATGTACAGGCTTGTCTTGATTTAAGGTTCTCCTCATATGTGAGTAAACTTTATCAAAGTAGATCCAGCAAACTGGGGTAACACCACCAGGGAAATTGAGTGTTTAAATTTACTACAGAACATTTTTATGGAGCACTAACATGAACAATTTTCATAAAACTAAGATAAGCTCAAAATGAAAAGAATTCAAGAGAATTGTTAAGCACTGCATGAATGGAGTCAAAACTAAGGATCTCTGAGAGCATGTACTCTATACAGAAGGAAGGAATTTAAGAATGTTTGTATACTGGTGGAAATAGTGCTCTGCATAGGGTCCATTAATAGTGTTGTTGTGCCAGAGTTTAGTCACTTTACCCACATGATCACTAACCAAAGGCTTAGTTTAAAACATTCAACAATGGAGAACCTTCTGTTGATCAAAACAAATGAATTTATATGGACATGAGGAAAAGGAACAAATGTTAGAAGCAGCATTGGAAATGTTTATGGCATTAAAGAAGGAAAAGGAAATTTGATACAAATACTTCTAACATATCTACAAAATGTGCAACCAAGAAATGGAGATCAAGTGATGAGGCTGAAACAAATAAGATTCTTTTTCGAGAACTGATTACACAGGAATCATTTGATGTTGACACTGTTGATGGAGATAATTTTCCTGTACACAATACATGTGAGGATAATGATTGAATATGCTCCACTGGCTAATGGATAAACAGGACAAAGAATCTTGGTACGTACAAATGACTATGAAAAGTAGATTTATCTCAGATTAACTCGATATTTTATGATATATGTGTTTATGCAAGTTTGTGACTTAATTTTATGAACAAATAGTGAAACTAATGTTTTATTTCCAAGTAAAAAATTTAAACACCAACTTATTCTTGTCTGTAAGTTACAAAAGAGTAGTTATAAAATGATTCTAATCAAATTTATATTTTCCAGGCTTTAAGAAGAATACAACATTATAATTTTTCCAGTTTTACTGGATATAGAAATTTTACTGATCGTTACTTTGTTTATTCATCAAATTAATCTACCATTCCTTGTATTTGCCTCTTACCCATACTTTGCCTCTCAAATATGACCACAGGTTCACTTAATAGAAAAAGAGTACAATTCAGTCAATACAACTTAGATTTTATTGTCCAATTTTGTAAAAAATGAATAGAGATATGACATCATCCCCCATGTACTGCTTGACTTGACTCTTCATTTTTCAAACATCAGGACCTGGTTACATCAAAAAATATAGCATTTCATTTCAGTAAGGGCTACATTCTAGTCTGAAATTTTATTGTAGTCCTATAAATGTAATGTAATATTTACTGTATTTTCTTTATGAACCTTGTTAATTGTAAGGACCCTCTGCAAACCCTTTTGATCTATTTATAATTCGTCATAACTTCATCTGGGGTGTGGGCAATTCTTGTGGAAACATGCTATCATTCTTCAAGAAAGTTTAATGTCAGATTTTCAGCTTATCACTGCCTTAATATTTTGAGAAGTTTAAAATCTTAAACAAATTATTAACTTTGTTTCACATTTTACATTATGTAAAGTTCACACATGCATGGCAAGTTATGGGATTTAGTTTTTAATATTCTCAACCTTAAGGCTTGAATAAATGCACTTCTTTTATGAGGTTGGGGGGTTTTACATAATTTCAATTAATACACTTTTTATGTGATGTAGTGTATATGCACACCATAATGTGAAATATCACTATATTTTGAATGTCTTCATCAAGAAAATTTATATTTTTCTGAGAAGTAGAAGATTATGGTATAAGGTAATCACACAATTGTTGCATGTAAAATTTACTTTAGCATACTAAACATT